GTTTTGGTACCTGTTTTTCTCAGATTGTGTGTGTGTGTGTGTGTGTGTGTGTGTGTGTGTTTGAATAAATGATGGTGCTGTATTAACGTAAATCTCTGTTTAAATGTGCTTTATAAAACAAAGTCCGTTCATCTGTAGAGGTTCACAGAGCAGCAGTGCCCCCTCCAACATGGCGGAGGCACAGCCTCGTCATTTAYAATACTCGTAGCCCACAGTGTTTATGCTTTAGACACGCCCACTCTTGTGACACGCCCACTCTGACTCCGCAGACAAACCATTCTCGAACATTGTGGACCGTCAGCGTCAGTACCGCCGGTGAATGTCGGTCTGCGAACAGAACCCGGTGTTCTGAGCGTGAAGCCGTCCGTTTGGACCCACTCTGCACCGGCACCACACACACAGCGGTAACCAAGGTTACGGGTCGTGACTTTGACGGTTAAAAACCCGGAAGTACCCTTCAGAATGAAGTTGGACCGACCCAGAACGGGCTGAAGTTAATGTATCATATTTGTTTGTTTGAAGCGAACATTTTCTGTCTCCGTGTCGTGTTTCTTCAGCTCAGCTACATGTTATAAACATGTCTTTACTGTGTAGTAACGCTTTAAGAGCCGCGCGCTCCTACCTGCACACTCACCTGACCGGAAACCTGAGACTCTGTAAACAGGTCTGTTGTCCGGTTCAAAGACTCTGCAGTCCACGGAGAGTCAACTCAAACATATGTTTGATGCTCTGCAGTAAGACACGGGCAGGTCCAGTCCTGGCCCATAGGGGGCGCCACTTGCACACCACTGCTCCTAAACGGGCTCTGCCTGCCCCCCTCGTGTGGATGGTCCTGAAGCCCCTGCAGAAACTGCTGGCTGTCCTGCTGGGCAGGTAGGAAACTGTTCTCCTGCTTCTTACTGTTAAACATGAACACACACAGTGTTGTATCACAACAACATCTATTGGTTCTTTAGACTCAGGCTTTACACACATCAGTCTAATTACAGAGTCACAAAGCTCAGTCAGAAAACTACAATCACTGTAAGAAACACAATTTAATATTTTTCATTTATCAATGATGAATATTTTATAAATTTAACATTCGTAAGACAAATATTTCAACAGCTACAACCTACCTGTTTTTACCTACAACATCCTGAAGTGACATACAACCATGACCGGTGTGTATAAAGTACCACAAGGTGATACTGGAGTAAAAAGTGCAAGTATCTTACTAAAAAATACTTTGGTAAAAGTTAAAGTCTTCTTTAGGAATATTACTTGAGTAAAAAAAAGTTTTTTTGCACCTAAGTATTAAAAGTTAAAGTACTGATTTAAAATGAGCAGTTAGGTTTTCTGTAAGGACATTTATTAGGAGGTGACCTCCCCAAAAACTGCAGAAATGACTGTTGTATTAA